TTATTCTTTTATTCAACATTTTTTACAGTCGTGTAAGCTTTTTTTAATTTTCTTGACATAAAGTGTGTAAAACTGTTAAAAAACTCTTGATATCCAAGAGATTTCAGCTATTCTATTAGTGATTATCAAGAATTTCTATTTAACTCAATAATATATATATATATATATATATATATATATATATATATATATATATATATATATATATATATATATATATATATATAAATATATATATATATATGAATATATAGTTTTTACGGTGTGTTATATTTATGGGATAAAGTGTTCAACATCAGACATAGAGCGAATGTAAATATAAATATGAAAGTGACCATTGAAATCAAGACTCAAAGGCGAAAGTCCGTTTTATGTTGATGAAATCGTCAGGCCGCCTGACGATTGCGTCCAGCACGTCTCCTTTGAGTGTTGACTTCAATATTCATATATATATATATATATATATATATATATATATATATATATATATATATATATATATATATATATATATATATATAAATATATATATATATATATATATATATTTATATATATATTATTGTATAGATTTATATATTTAGCATATTATTTATATCGATATTTTATATATATTCATCTACGTTGGCTTTTTTTATTATTAATGCTTCCATTAATCTCCGGATTTGTGATATTTCCTCGCCACTTTACTACATCTCTGTTTTCATAAGTTATAAGTTAGAGGATCTAAATTTTATTGTAATCTAATTATGCCCAATAATGGATCATATACAATATTGGAGAACAATTCAACGAGAAAAATTGAAAATAAATTCAGTGTCTCTAAATACAATTTAGAGGCATGTCCTAATAGATCATTCCATCTTAAATAAATCAACAATGTTTTGCGGCAATTTTTTAATATTAACTTGAGATTCTTTTTGTTAAAATTTGAATAAAGTGACAGATTCACGATTTCGGAATAAAAAAAAAGTGAATTTTATACAGTCTTTTTTCGAGACAACACGTGCAAATTCACAAAAAGATCCTAAAATGACGTCAGAATCCGCAAACTTTTTTCATCCATTAATAGTCAGTTGTGCTTAGTTTAATATATAGTGTGTATAAATGTAGTTAGAAATAAAGCAAATTTTGATAAGATAGCGAGGGTCATTTTGTACACTCGGGGCCTACAAAACAGGTTTGGTCCTCCAAGTCAGGGGCATTTGGGGTTGTACACACCCATATATATATATATATATATATATATATATATATATATATATATATATATATATATATTAATTATTTAAAAAAATATGATTCCTTCGCTACATAAGAGTTCTCATGTTTCAAAAACGAGATGAAACCATCAATAGAATTATTAAAATTAAATTGAATTAAAGTAACAAGCCCTGTTTCATCCTCAAGCGAAAATTTAGGAATAACCAATTTTGAAATTTACGTGTCGTTATCAGCGTGTTCATTCGTTACTATGGAAACGGCTGGGGTGACCATTTTTATCCACATATCAGTCACCTTCAGGGAGAGGTCAAGCTGAGGTAGGGTCGGGTGTCTATTTCCAGGCGAATTATGTCTTTCTTGTGCGCGCATCATCTGTTCATTCGCAGAGAAAGATAGATTTTGGCACCATAGTATGTGGTTAAGTGTCTGGATAATTTTATTTATTTTATTTGTCCATTTATTTATTTATTTTCAACGGGCTGTTTCATATAAAAATTGCTACTTCAATTCAATTTAATTTTAATAATTATATTGTGGGTTTCGGCTCTCGTTTTTGAAACATGAGAACTCTTATGTAGCGAAGGAATCATATTTTTTTTTTAAATAATTATAATTTAAGCTCTACTTCTGTATGGAGCACTGTTTTTTTTTTTTTTTAATGAAAACAAAAGTACTAAAGAACCCTAGATTATTTACCTAACGTGTTCTTTCCTATTTTTCTACATACCTGCACACACACACACACACACACACACACACACATATATATATATATATATATATATATATATATATATATATATGTCCCCGACTCACTCACTTTCTAAAATATGAGGAAATCTAACAAAGTTTTATTGGCTGACTTTGAACCAAGTTTTCAGCAATCCGTTGTCAGTGTCTTTGAGATTACTTACCTATGTATCTATCAATCTATGTTGCAATCGAGAAATAAGGGGGAAACATTATCTTTTCCAAAATATTCTTCCAACCCCGACCCACCGCCAAAAAAAGGGTATTTCGCAGACGTTCCTTGTGACTAGATGCCGTAATTGACAAGTACAAGTACCTCGCGTCAGGGGGGGCCTTCTTCTTCTTGGAGTAGTTAAGAAAGAAACGCCCAGAAAAGTAAGAAGTAAAATTAAGAATAAGTTAGGACATTAAAAGAACTGTAAACACGCACAATAATCACTACTTAAGTCCTCAAATGTTACTCCTATCTCTTCTAGATACGAACAGCTGCGTCATACATAAGTAATTCATATATATATATATATATATATATATATATATATATATATATATATATATATATATATTTATTTGGGGTGAGAGAGAGAGATAGAGACGGAGAGGTGCTGAAAAAATCTCATCCCGACGAAGAAAAACATCCTAAAACATCTTTTGGTAAGAATTTGTTAAGTGGGTGTGGCCGGGAAAACTTTAATATCACTTTTCAGCTAGATAGATAGATAGATAGATAGATAGATAGATAGATAGATAGATAGATAGAGAAACCGAATGAAAATGATAGAAAAAACAGACTGAAGTTTCGATATGTATATAATGGCTTCATCAGACAGTAAGTTTCTAATTGTTTGATGAATTCATTCTGATAGAATCGTCATAGTATAAAGGTTTAAATATTTCCTATCTTATAAATACATAGACATATATATATATATATATATGTAGTGTGTCTGATGAAATCATTTTTGTTAATATAGCTAGCTAGCTAGATAGATAGATAGGGAACTCGAGCGGAATCTGATAGAAAAAACAGGCTGAATTTTCCCGATAGATAGGTAATGGCTTCATCAAGCAGTAAGTCTGATGAAATCATTTGTGTAGACATCGTCAGCATAAACGTCTTAAATATTTCAATTATATTTAATATAATCAAATTTTAATCAAATATATTTATTTATTTTATATATATATATATATATATATATATATATGTGTGTGTGTGTGTGTGTGTGTGTGTGTGTGTGTGTGTGTGTGTGTGTGTGTGTGTGTGTGTGTGTGGTTTCCAGGTATGCCCATGTGTTCAGGTAGTTCTCTTTTTTGATGAGATGGGCCGGACATGTGGGACGTATGAATGACAGTAGGTTGCCGAAGCAGCTATTTTATGGCGAGCTTGCAAATTTTAAGCGCCATCAGCATAAGCCAAAAAAGGGCTTTGTTTATATATATATATATATATATATATATATATATATATATATATATATATTCCAAGTATGCCCAATTGTTCAAGTTGTTAGCTAATCCCTGTTGCGTATTCCTGCCCATCTATTTGTTTATCTTCATCACCCAGAACCAGCCTGTGCTTTATACAAGATCAGTAGTTGACTAAGTTCTGTATACTCAAGCATACTTACAATAACTCATGACTTTGTGCTTGGACAATCATCAATGGTTTCTCGACATTTTTGTCCATGCAGTTTCACTTATGAGTCTTGGGTCTACCCATAGTATGGTTTTTAAGTACTTTCCAAGAAAAGTTTCAAGGGTATTGTTAAAGACAAACGGAAAATTCTTGAAGTTAGAGTCAAAGACTGAGTGAAAGAGTCAGAAAATAGGTCTGGTTAGTGGAAAGGTAGTTTTTGATGAAGTTGAAAAGAGCTCTTAGGAGAGGTGATGCAGACGTAAATCCCATAATATTCATGTGCGTTTGGCCGAGAAATCTTCAGTATCATTTCTCTACTCGCTAGATAGATAGATCGATAGGAATACCGAAATGTAAGTGATGGGTACAAACAGATAGACAGGTAAGAATAATCCAAATATTTTTGCAGGGAAACTGGTTTTTCTGTTCCACACGATTTATTGTCTCGCTTGAGGTGCGTGATGGAGGAAGCAAAGAATAGAAAGATGCGAATGGTAAATGGTAATAATGACAATATACGTTTCCTTATAAGGAAATATTTGGCATTCATTAACCGATAATCCCGTGCTACTGTTGGTTTGAAATTTATAAGAGCTTTCTATTAAAACAATTTTTCAGCAAATCAGACTTCTTAAGTCCACTAACTATTACCACTTTTTCCAGTATTGATGAGGATTTCCTTTCTAGCCTTTTGCTTGAAGTTGTGTGGAACGTCTACGTCTTGATTTTATCATTATTTTTTTCTTTGAGTTACATCTGCTATCCATTTACCTATGAAGGTATGTGTTGAAAAATAGAAAACTGAAGCATAATCTTTTGAAAATTCTGAAATTTATTAATTCTTTTTTGTTTAGGACTGGATTTACTGTGAATAATGGTAAACCTAATACTTTGTTCCCTTTTTTCCGTAAATGGCATTTTTCATTTTCAAAACAAAGGCTTATGTTTATATTTACAGTACGAGCAATGGATACATGGCGCAATAAACGTTAACCGTCCAACATCGTTAATTATAACTCTCCACAAAAAAAAAAAAAAATACGGTGTTGTCCATTTTTGCAGCAAAAAATAAAATAAAATGAAATAAAATAAAAAAATAAACATAACAGATTTGTTTTTAAGGTTTAGTAACCCTTTTCAGGTTATTTAAAGCCAGGACATATTTTTAGATTATAAGTATTATTTTTTTTCTTTTTTTAAATAATAATAATTTAGTGATATAAGTCTTATTAATTAACCCATTACTGGAGGGAGATGAGGTGGATGCATTCTTTTCCCCACGGGTACTTGCACGTAAGGGAATATAATGAACCCAACCGGAATTGGAAATCGGTTCTCCGATTAATAATCCCGAAACATTATGCATTACATCACCAGCACATCTAAGCTTACAGTAGCTGACATTCCCAAGCGGTCACCCATCGAGGTACTGACCAGGCTCGACGTTCCTTAACTTCAAGGATCGTGCGGGAACGGGTGTTTAAATGTGTTGTGGCTGTAAACCCCAGAAGAAGAAGAAGAGGAGGAGGAGACAACAACTAAAGTAATAATAATAATGAACATATCTTATATCTACTGTTATAATTATAAAGTACTGAAGACGTAGACATGTGTATTAACAAGAACTGTTGTCACTGTTTACAAGAGACACAAAATGTCATACAATGTGTTGAACTGTTCATCTACTCAAGGAAGTATTATCAATGGAAAGAAAATATAAACAATGAATATATTAAGTATCTGGTCTATATTTCTGAGATGAGGTATTATGTACACTATTTACATTAGTCGGACTATTGTCCTCATCTTTGTCAGCATATCTATTACAACGATTCGGCCGTTGTACGCTCAAGGACACATGGCACACTGGATAAAGGCGTTGGTTAGATCCAGTGACAGACCCAAAGAAGGTGAGTTCAATACCTGGTTAAGCAGGAGATAACTGATAACTGACATCCATCAAACATGGCACGTGGAACTAGAACAGTCTACCCCAGTGATCGAAATAAAGGGTTCAGTTCGAAATTCCAACCACCTGAAGAAGGCCGGAGCGTACAACGGCCGAAACGTTGTAACAAATATGGCGACAAAGATGAGGACAATAGTCCGACTAATGTAAATAATGTTAAGTATCGTTTAGCATCAACGTTTGTGCAAGCCAAATGCATACATAACGGACCCAACTGGAATTAACAAGTCTTAGCCATTCTCCAAGAAGCGTTCTCGCATGTCCAAGCTTAGAGCACGTGTTATTCACAAGCGGTCACACATCTAGATACTGACCAGGTTCGACAGAGTGTCAAACAGACAGTTTTTCTCATGACTAGTTTTCCATGACAGTTTTCCCACACTATCCCGGAGGCCAGCATCAACCATGCTGATTGTAGGCAAAGAAAAGTTATTTAAGATTGTTAATAGCGAACCGCTTCTTTTTAACGGCGTTAAAAATTTACAAGTCACTTCTTGCCCCAAGATTCCATCTTGTTTTCTACGAAAATCTACTTCGTTTTATGACATTGTTTATCGCCGATCCTTCAATGACACCTTTATTGTTTCTCGTTATATTACTGACTTTGTTTTGCCTCCATTTTTTTTTTTTTTAGCAGGCAAGGAGTTTGTGTATCATGTCAAAGTGAGTCTATCCCATATTTATTCGTCTTTTCTCTGTTTCAAAATCTGCACCCCCACCCCGAACTAAATCTTTAAGCGGCAAGATAAAGAGCTTCTGATTCGCTGACTTTTGCTTGGGTGGGCAATTATCACCAAAGCAAGTATTTATCTATACGTATCTTTTATATGACTTATCGCCCCAGAAAAAAGAAGAAGCTTTTTTGCGTTGGGTCTAAACTACACACACACACACACACAGACATATATATATATATATATATATATATATATATATATATTGAAAATAATAAAAATTAAAATTAAAATCTTCAGGCACACTGGGTAGTATATTAACATTTTTCGTTTTACTATTTCAGTTACATTCCTCGACTAGTTTCACACCATCATCAGGAGAAAAAAAATTCTGTTCTGGATGGATTCATGTTGCTCTGAATCCTCTTGGTCATTTTTGAAAGTTTTATTGGTTCCATATATATATATATATATATATATATATATATATATATATATATATGGAACAATTGAAAATGTATTTGTCAAAATATTTTCAAAATTCAGGGACAAGCATTTTGGTGTCATTATTAATGGAAGTAAAATTATTTTGATACATTTTTCGTTTTACTAATGTCATCATCATCAGTTAGATTATTTTTTCAAGACAAATTAGTAGTGTTCGTCATTTTTCAAAGTCAAAATTGTTGTATTCATCTGAAAGTTAAATTTTTTTTACTGGCGAATTGAAGGACCATGAGTTTAGTACCATTAGTTAAGTCACGTTTCAGGGATGGATGAGGTGCATTTTTTTTTTTGTTGTTTTTTTTTAAATTTGTATTAAGAACTACTGAATCGATATTTTAAACTATCTACTGCAGACATTTTAAAACATTTGAAATCGTTTTTTATTGGTTTGGTTTCAATGTTTTAATAAAGATAATTTATATTAATTTATATATTATTTTTTCATATTTTTTATATATATTTTATTTTAGTATATATTTTCAACAAGAATTTTTTTATATGGACACGTATTCTGTTGTAAATGTTTCGCATCATTCAAATAAAAACTCAGCCGCCAAGACAACGTGGTCGCAGTTTTACAAGTTCAACATATTTTCAGTTGGATCCTCAATTGCAAGAAGAAAAAGAATGTTTGTTAGCAAAAGGAACAGTCCAGCATACAAATTACACATTGTAGATACCAACATCAAACAAGTATTTAAACATCTGGAAAATGTTTTTTAACAGATGTCGAAAAGTGCGATGCTGTATACCGAAGGCGTATTATAACGAAAGGTGGAAGCAAATTATTAAAAAAAAGAAAAAAATCGTTAAAAGCAAATAAAAAAAACACTATTGAAAATTTGATATCACATGTTATTTTGCTAGACAATCTACGAAAATGACATTAAAAGACCACAAGATAGTTGGTAAATGAAAGGGTTGCAGAGGAAAAGGTCCTTCCTTTGCGTCCCTATTTTTTTAACAAAAAACAGACAGGAACAATAACAACAACTATGTCGGCCAAAAATAAAGATTAGTGAGTATGAGGTGAAGGGATTTTTTATAACATCATCTGCCTTCACCTTTTCCCCGAATCAAAAAATGGGAGGCTACTAAAACGGAGAGGAATGAGTTATCCCAGTCGTCATCTCCACTAAAAAGAAAGTTAAATTTTTTCACAGATGGAGAATTGAAGGACCATCAACAGAAGGATTAGTACCATAGATTAAAGATGTCTAGAACAATGTTTAAAGAAAATGGAAGCAAAAAAGAACACATATATAAGATCAGAAAGGTGCTGAGATTCCTAGTTTTTTTTTTTTTCCCAGGACAGAGTGAAGACGAGAGGGACAGGGAAAGCAATGCATAACCTACCCAATGAGATCAAGCAAGTGGGTTTTTTGTTGTAACCTAGGGAAGGATACTAATAGAATCATCACACGAAGGTTGGTAATGAACGATAATACTTAGGACAAGAACAACACATATAAGATTTAAAACTAATCAACTGCTAGAAGTGAGTCAAGTTTCCAAAATGGATTTTCAGCAGGATATATCCAACCGACCAATCGAAATTAATTTTAGACCGTGTACGGGGTAGCTCTGGTCCTCTCTGCTCGGTGGCAGACATTTTTAAACAAAGATAAATTCCAACTGCAGGATATTACCGTCCCGCGCAGTCAGTAGTCAAGTTTATTAAATGAATTACAAATGAATCTCCAACTGCAGTATCTACCAACCGCCCCCCACACGTTTTTAGTATAGCCCGTAGCCTCGGCCAAAATTTCACGTAGATCCCGTATAAAGCGAGTTGCAGCTATAGACGATAATCTGCTTCGACATATTTTCTCTGCCCGGACGAAGAGAGTTTGGCTACCACAGTTGGAAACGAATTTCCAACTTTCACAGCCCCACGCGGTTAAATGTGACAAAGGCTAAAATTTATTTTCCGAGTGGGCTCGGCCAAAAATGACCCTGTATAAAACAGAGTCAGGTAACTGTTTCCCGAGACGGGACTCTGTCCTTCGACATTGCCTCGTCTGGGGATCCTCTTTGCCTGGAGGCAGAGAGTTTGACCAGCGCAGATAGAGACGAATCTTCAGATCAACATACAGTATTTGCTACTGTATTTATGTGAATATTCGTCCGTAGTTATCCTATAAATATATATTTATATATATATATATATATATGTGTGTGTGTGTGTGTGTGTCTGTCATTTTGTGTTTGTGTCTGTGTGTGTAAAATGACTCATTAAGCCGCCACAAGTTTTGTCTACTTATTTTTAATAGGATCCTCTCATAATTATAGATAATTTTCTTAGTGTGCTTACTAAAGAAGAAAGAAAATTAGCATGTTGATACATTCATTTATTTCCGAGTTTTCGACATTTGACACAATGTCATCTTCAGGGTTTTGTATTTTGATTATTCTGAAGTCCCTTTCTGGGATATTTTTAACGCTATCTGAATGTTTTCAACTACTTTTTGTTCAAAGTTTCCGCAATTTCAAATATATATATATATACAAACTTATATATCAATGAGTTACATATCGGGTGACATATGTTTAATACCTTTTCGTCTTGTTTACAATTAGGTTGCATGTGTTTACAAACAAGTTTTTGTTGAACAATACCGACGAAGTCTGTTTGTCCAATGTATCATTTTCGCTCAGTTAATTATAATTTCTATAGCACCAATTTTATATCAGTGAGGACTTTCGCTTATAAAATTAAGTAATTTAAATCAGGTGCATTTAGGCAGCAATAATTCTTTTTCAATATTTTCGTGTTATCTATTAAAATTTTCTTTTGTTAATATTATTTTGGTTATTCGTAATATATATGTATAGATGTATATATGTACACACACAAACCAATATGTATGCATATATATATATATATATATATATATATATATATATGTGTGTGTGTGTGTGTGTGTGTATTGCGTATATTTTAGCGGCATGTTTTCGGAAAATTCTTACTGAAAATACATCAATGATTTTTCATGAAAATAATAAACAAACTAAAAGTTTTTTAAGCTATCTATATTAAAAAATTGAAGTTAGCCCTTAATAAAATTAATTATGAATACTGCACGAATGTTTTTAAAATGTTTACAGTAGATAGTTTAAAATATATAGTTTTTAACTAATAAATTTAAATACTTTTTAGAGATTTCCATAACTTAGTTAATTCTCTTGACGCTTGTACGTGTGTCTGTATTACGAATTTAAAAAAAAAATATACAGTAGATAAACTTTTCACTTCACAGATAAGAATTTAATTTTCAGATGAAGACAACAATTTTGTCTTAGAAAGATGATGAAAACAATTTTTTGTCTTGGAAAAAAACAAAACC